CGGCCACGAGCCCTGGAGGATCGAAAAGCTCAAGGACCTCAAAAAGAAGTGGGATCCCGAGAACAGGATGAGATTTTACGCGCCAATCGTCTAAGCAAGGCATTCTCAGCCCTAAAGACCCAGAGTCAGCCCTACGCTCAAACCCTGGCAAATCTCACCCGGTCTCACCGAATGGAACAGCGGGACCGCGGCTGAGGCGTATTACAGGACAATATCGCACGCAGATCAATAGCCAAGACTGCAAGATAAAGAATCACAAGATCTTGTGCATAATCATCATCGTCGAAAAGAGTAGCCAGTTCGCGAGGCATTCACGTGACGTAAGCATCCGCGTGTCCCTGACTCTGCAAACGCTAAGCAATGTAAGCTTAAATTATTATCTTGATGTGATTCTCTCTCTGATTTGTATAAATTAATTGCTCAATCATCGTGCCCAAGTACTTGATCCTTACAGTAGAAGTGAAAATGCAGCAACAGCCTCTTCGAGCAACGTTATCGTGCAGTTCTTGTCGACAACGAAAGTACGCCGCCTTTCCTTGGCACCGATGACGATGCTGACGAGATACTCAGGCTCAAATGTGATCGCGATGAGCCATGTAGCAATTGCGTAGCGAGGAATGTCTCATGTCAATATGCGCCGTGGCCACGAGGTCGTGTTGCTGCTCAGAGAAGGGACAGTAGACAGAATGATCTGAGTGATCGCGTGCGCCATCTTGAGCAGCTCCTCGGCTCTATTGTCCAACAGCTTCCAGCTCAGCAGGGAACTTCCAATGGATCACCCAGTATCAAGAGCCCGGCGAGTACCTATGTCACAGCATCTCATGTTACAGGGTCCAATCAAGGATCTCATCAATCTTCTCAGGAAGGCTCTGAGGTCAAGCCTGGTAGGATGATGGCGAATCCGAATGAGACAATTTATGTTTCTAGCAGTCACTGGTCTGCTATTTGCCACGAGGTAAGCAAATCGCTAGTGGCCGGAACGTTTCTGACTTGACAACAAACCAGGTTGAGCATATTCGCGAGCATCTGGACGAAAGTCACGAAGCGAGTGATTTGGGCATAGTCGATCAAGCTCAAAGTCAAGTGCCCCTTCTTCTGGGACCTGGAAGATTAGCTCCGAGCCTTGAAGATATCCTTGCGGATGTCCCTCCGAAGCACATCACGGATAGACTCGTATCTCGTTATTTCACTTCGACTCAGCCATCCATCTGTACGTCCAACTCTTGTTTTACAGTACTGTCACTGATGCTTCGAAGTGATAACCCATTCAGGGGAGTTTGAAGGCGAGGTACGTCTCGTTTGCTACCGAAGCTTCACCTCGCTCATCTTCTCATAGTACAAACGCTTCTGGAATGACCCCAATTCTGTATCTGTTCAGTGGGTCGGGATGCTCTTCGGCATTCTGGCCACGGGAACATTCTTGTATATCCGATCACAGGATGAGCTGCCTGGAGGAATGGGCTCACCTCTTGAAGTCGCCGAGTCCTTCCAGCAGAGATGTACGGACTGTCTCATTCTTTCCAAGTACTCCACGGCGCCGGGTAAGTATACTCTAGAGACTCTCCTGTTCAATATCCATGGTGAGTTCGTGCGCCGTCGAGACGCTCATCTTGGCGTGTGGATCCTTACCGGTATTGCTATTCGTTTGGCGATGCGGATGGGATACCACCGTGATCCCGATAATTACCCTCGGATCTCACCATTCCATGGCGAGATGCGGCGTCGTGTATGGGGTGTTTTCCAGCAGCTTGATATTTTGACCTCTTGCCAACTGGGTCTGCCGTCGCTTATCCAGGAGTCCCAGTGCAATACACGTCTGCCGCGCAATATAAACGATGAAGACTTTGGCCCTGGGTGCACGCAGCTTCCTCCACCAAGACCTGAGACGGAAGGTACCGGCGTTCTGTACACCCGCGTCAAAGTCAAGATGATGACCATCTTCCGAACGATCTTCAACCAGGTTTCACTCGGCAAGACGGAAGACTACAATGAGATCATGGCGCTTGATCAGAAGCTCCATCAGATGCATCAGTCCATGCCCACTTGTTATAAGATAGCCAAACTCGAAGATTGCTTCATGGTCCCGCCGTATCTACTCATTCGGCGACATAACCTTGAACTTCTCTTCCAAAAGGCCAGATGTACCCTGCATCGCCATCACATGACAAAGGCATTCCATGACCCTAAGTATAACTACTCCAGGGCGGCTTGCGTTGACTCAGCGATGACAGTGTTAGGTCACCAGGCTAGCATCCTCAAGGAAGTTCAAGTTGGTGGGCTACTATACAACGACAGATGGTTTCTCACATCTCTTGAGAGACATGACTTCTCATTGGCATCTATGGTCGTCTGCGTTGAGCTCGGCATGCCACCTGAGCAGCAGAACCCAGAGCTCGTGGGGTATACTCGGGAGAGTATGATCGAAGCGCTTAAGACCTCGCAGGCATTTTGGGCCGCTATTAAGGCCGTCTCTGCTGAGACGAAGCAGGCATACGATATGCTCACAGTCATGTTGAAAGCTGTTACGACTGGTCCAAAGGACGAGTCAATTCCACCAGCTGTAAACCAAGAAAAAGCCCCAGCTCACAGTGGCAACGGCAACGGTAAGACTGATGCTCGAATCGATGTGATTTGTAGATTGACAAGAACAGGATACATGAACGGGCAAAACGACACAAGCGAGACTCCTTTCTCGGCCGAATTTCAGGGCATTGAGGCCATGTTGAACAGCTCAGATGGCGTGGACTGGGTATGTTCCTCCGCAACTAAACAGTGTTCCAGCTGACGTGTTTGAACTTTCAGGATATGTGGGAATCACTGGTTCACATGCCCGAAGATTTTTCACAATATGAAATGCCAGAAGAGCTCTGAAACCAATGCCATTGCCATTTTTGTCCCATGGTCAAGAAGACGAGTGGTGCTGCATTTATTGCTGACAGATGACGCAGCATGATGATTAGCGGGGTTTGGTGTAGCATACCTAAATAAAATTTCTCATGCATCTGTGAGCTTCACTCTATCATTCCTCGTGCCATCCTCAATATCAGCCCAAAACATCGATATTTCTTCTGAAGCTTCGAAGTTGCCAACATGCCTGCTCAATTAGTTATCTTCGACTTTGACGGGACTCTTTTCGACACCCATCAAGCCATATCTCACAGCATCAAGCTCACCTTCGATGCTCTCCTTCCAGCCTCAGCTCCAGCAGAGTCTGAAGTGCAGAAGTTGATCGGTTCTGGTCTGGGTCTCAAGGAGGTTCTCCGAGCGCTACATGTGTCTCCCGACTCTTTCGACGAGGATGAATGGACGTCAACGTACCGTCGCTTCTACAACGAAGAAGGACAGAAACTTGTATCTGCGTTTCCTGGCGCCAAAGAGCTTTTGATCAAGCTAAATGGAAAAGAGGTTCCTGTCGCTATTGTCAGTAATAAAGGTGTAGCCGCAGTCGAGACAGCCCTCAAGAACAACAGCATTGATACCATCCCCAAAGACTTGATCGTCGGAGACAACACCCCCGGCGCAACGCGTAAGCCGGACACTGGAAGTTTCGAGAAAGTTCTCCTGCTGGCCCTGAAAGCTCGTGGATTCGCACACGTGGACGCCTCAAGAACCTTAGTCGTTGGGGACACGGAGGCAGATGTCAAATTCGCCGCCAACATCGGAGCGAAGTCTGTTTGGTGCAGATATGGATATGGTGAACGGAGCGCATGCGAGAGGTTGGAGCCACAATTCACAGTCGATTCATTGGATGAAGTAGCTGGAATTGTTGATAAGATGTGATTAATCAAAATTTCTTCTTGAGAGGGGCTGCACGTGTCATCAGACGTAACACCTACTTAGAGTTCATTATCAAATCCTGGAGTCCTATGGCGGCAACCAATCTTGTGCTAAAAGCTTATATAGTAGCTTGGGATATCGCATATGCTATTTGCCGTTGAAGCTTCTCATAGAGTTTATAGCAGCCACACAGAGCCTAACGTTAGGTAGCTCGCAATCATTGGAAGAAGGCCATGCGTCTAGGCTGCAACTTTCTACAATCAGAAAGGCCAATTGAGCATTTCAGGATGCCAATCAGAGACATTCATCTCTGGTCTCGTGCTCAGCTCAAGTCCAGTGCTTATTACGGTACGAGTCACGTTCAAGTGATCTATTGGGCAGCCCGATGTACGTATCTTCGCCGAAAGGACAAGATGAACAACGATCGAATCCCTCAGCAGAGTCAAGCTTTAAGCTCATGTATCCTTGAACCATTGGTTCTCATAACGAAGTGCTAGGGAGCTTTCCACAAGAGGCTTTTTCAGAGGACTACGATATACCAACGAGATAGATCAAGGCAGGAAACTGAGGAATCGCAATGAAGCAAAGCCTTTGGAAGGAATATACGAATGAGCTTGATGAACAAAGTCCCTTGATCTAGGTATACAGCTCCATATTGGAATTTGGAAAAAGTATTCTACAGGTGCCCTTATCCAGAGCCACTTGGTATGGTACTGTATGTGATCTGACCAAGGTGTAAGCTAGACAGTCTATTAAGCTATTGACCAGGAACTTAACATGAAACCTTTACGATATGTACACCAATAAGCTTAGAGGCTGATGGCCATTCTCGAGCTTCCTTGTCCTCGCAGCAAGTTACCCCTAGACTTTCCCCAAAACAATGCGATAGAAGTTTCAAACTCTGTTGTCGCTATGTATAAAATGCAGGCCCCCCCTCTCCACGTTTTCCTTCTCCCAAGAACAAAACATCACAATCTGTGTTCAAACTCTAACTAGCTATGTCCAAAATGCTCTTCCCTACCATTATGCTCTGCTTTTTCGCAGCTACTGGCACAGCCTGGGATGCCCCCGATATTCCCGGGTTCCGGATCATGTGGAACGACAACTTCAACGGGCCATCTGGGTATCTACCAGATCTTTCCAAATGGAACATTCAACATGGGTACCAGGATCTAAATGGAGATCATCAGGAGTACAGGGCTTCCCCTGAAAACGTCCATGTCATGGATGGCAGCCTTCATATCCATCCATGGCGCGACCCTACTGCTGCAAAAGGTTGGACATCTGGTCGTATCGAGAGCACGTACACCTTCACCCCTGCGCCCGGTGTCAAGACCATTGTCCAAGCTGGCATAAGTCTCGGTCTTGCCCGTGAAGCGAGGAAGTATGGCATCTGGCCTGCCTTTTGGTTGCTCGGTGACAGCCACCGCACTGGTGGTCCTATATGGCCTGCCTGTGGTGAGCTCGACATTATGGAGCACGTTAATGGCGAGCATGAGACTTATGCCGCAATTCATTGTGACAAGTCACCTGGCGGTATCTGCAAGGAGAAGAAGGGTATCACCGGGTCGCACTATCAACCGAATTCGGCTACGGGCTTAAACACCTACAAAGTCGTCATCGACCGCACACCAGCCATGTGGCAGTATGAGAGTGTAAACTTCTACGTCGGAGATGAACTCTTTCATACGATCACGGGTGGCCATATCGGCAACCTGGAAGTGTGGAAGACCATTGCGCAAAACAAGATGTTCATAATTTTAAACGTCGCTGTTGGTGGTGATTGGGTAGGTTGAATCTCTCTTGGTGAACCAGTCATGCTAATATCTTGTAGCCGGGACCACCTGTTCCCTCTACTTCAGAGGGCCCTGAGGTTGGTATGCAAGTCGGATATGTTGCCCATTATGAGCAAGAGGCATCAGCAGAGGATACAGCCCATGCGTCTTATAACTATCCTTACGGTAATCCTGCAGACGAAATGGACTACCCCTACGACAATATCCCTCAAAGCCCACCGCCACCGGCTCCACCTCTACCTCCCGTTGCCGTGCCTCCTCCGGCTTCTGTCGGTGCACCTCCTCCGCCTCCCGTTGGTCCTCCTGTCGGTGCACCTCCTTATAGCTACCCCCATATCCGTCAAGTCCCGCATCACCCGCATCAACGTCCTTACAACTATTCCAATCTCCCTCCAGGCCGGCCGCCCTATTAGAAAGGGATAAAAGCCGCTCTTACGGTCTAAAATTAGAATCCTGTGCTCGTGCGGCTGACTTACCCCTTCACGTCTGCAAATAGACCTCATATTCAAAATTGCGTACTATTGTTGGACAATTAAGTCTCATTTCTCTTAGGACACGGAGTACCGGGACAAATAGGGGCGGGGCTCCAGGTGACGGAATGCCCCTTAAAGGGAACATGGGCGTTAATCCATCTACTGGCGCAAAACCAGTCATCATTCATCATTTAAACGACGTTACTCACAAAAGATGATATTGCGTGCATGCCAGTCTGCTGCAGTAGGTTGCTACACTTGACTTGGCTTGCTGCTCCTTAATTTGGGGTCTTCCATCTACCGAGACAGCTGGCGTGAGCTTTCCATCCATTGGCCAAATCGAGATATGGCGATATAAGGATGACAGAACCGCAGCGACAATGATTTATACTAAAGCTAGACAGAGAACCTCACAGAGCTGTTCCTCGGGGGAGCATTTCATCAAGCGGATCTTAGATCAATCTCAAAGGCATATCCACGAATGCCTCCAACCAAGACGTTGAACACACACAGCACTTGCAATGATCTAAGCCAGTTCAAATGTTCAAAATTCAATTCAGTGAACAGTACTGGATGCTCCATGAAAGATATGGTCATGGTAAACCACTCCCCGGGGTATTTGATCTCCTTCAATAGATACCCAACTTGCTTGCGAACCGTTGTCATGTTGCTGCACGGATAAGCAGCTTGCACTGTCAACAGCTGGAAACCTCAACTGAACGTTTTGTTTTCGGGAGTCTAGTGCCATAGGGGCTAATTTCATCCGTTTGAAAGCAAACAATGGGTCTGTTCAAACGGCTTCTCTTCCATAGCCAATGGCATACTCTCATCTCTACCAGTGGCATCAGACCCTTCATTCACCTTCCGTTCCCCACCTAGGTATGACTTTCTATCAGAAACTCGACTCTGAATTCTGTTTCTTCTTCTCCAAGTTAAGAACCAAACCTCAGTAACGAAGACTTACTCACACTTTCAACAACAAAACTCGCCTTTGGATCTTGCTCTTCCTCTCTGAAACAAGAGCCAAATCTTAATAACAAAGGCTTTCTTACATCCGCAACACTAAAACTTTGGAACAAAGGTAATAAAGACTCTACGACTCCTGGCATGAGTTCAATGCTGACAACCAAACTTCAGATCCAGAACTCAACTCCTACAATGATGGGATTCTTTTCCGCGAAGAAGCCGGTTGACCCCAAGGTCCAGGCTTGTGAAGCCGTTAGCAAGGATGTCGAGGACTCTGTTCGTGCCCTCGAGGACTTCGAAATCGAGCTGGACCATGTCGCTGAAGACTATGTCGAGATCATCGACCACGCAGCTCCCAAGCGCCCTCGTGCTGTCTGGAAGGGTACCAAGGAGGTTGGCAACCAAGGCTTCATTGTCGTCATGAAGGACACCGAGGTCAAGGCCGTCATGAAGCACACCAACGGAAAGGCTAAGCTCTGTGAGGATATCGTCGTTGTGGAGGGATTCAAGGACCCTCGCCTCACCGAGGGTGTTCTTGTGAAGAACCCGAAGCACACTCCCCGCTCCGGAAACGTCAAGAAGTAGATGATGGGTCTCGACTATTTTGGCCAAGATGGAGAATCAGGGACCTTTGGTTTTGTTGCTGTTCTTTGGGTCGTTGGATGAAGTATCAAGAAGAGATTGGCGATGTACTATAGCATCATGTGAGCCAACCTGTTTAGTCAGTCGCTCTTTTCGATAGCCTAATGAACCCATACCGCGTTTTGCGATAAATAAGATGGTTGCGTATTATAATGTTCATATTATTCCATCCCATGTCCCATACAAGGCCCCTGTTCAGGCGGTGCCTCGGATAACACCCAATCATCGGTGCACCACACAAGAGAGCTTTCGCCAATAGCGTTCTTAGTAACATGATCTGACAGGCTACAGACTCGACTCCAAAAGTACTTTCACACGTCTTTTAATTTGGAAGACTAATGTCAACACTTTCATGCCCTACTTGAATGACGCGTCCACGAAAGAACCTTGGTCGCGCCGCATTCGAGAAGGTTGCCAGCCCATAAGCATTTCCTGTAGCATCGAAAGGATTTCCCAAAGGGTCCTGGGCGAAGGATCAACTGTGTAGTGGCTATGCCACATTGGGTGGTGCCAAGCCGCTGAGGTGCATAAGGCATTCAGTAAGGCGTTTCAGCGGGCTTGGCCGTTGCGAGGGGCATCAACAGATACTGAAGTGTAACCAGTCTCTGCATTCTTAGTGAAGACAGATTCCCAATGGGTGCTGAGCTTAGCGAAACGGACCAACACGAAAGGACTGGTCTGAGGAAGGCAAACATGGGAGAATCATGTTAGGGCTGTTAGTCTCGATGCCACGCCGCACCACGCATCCATGTCCAAGCCCCTGTCAATCATCGTCATCAACTCACCACAAGCTCGGCCGAAATATAGCACATCAGGTATAACACATGACAGCCAAGCATTGGCTACCTCCCTGCGTTATATATCACCAGACCGACCCCAACCCTTCTTGTCATCAATAGAAAGATCAACAGCGAGCATTCATAACCATGACTGCGACATCCAGCGTCCATCTCATCAAACTATGCAGGTCCATTTCGGAGCGCGCAGCATTTTGTGTAGCCGCCGCAGACAACCTAGCTGAACGAGGTGGACAGCACGTCCTAGAGCTCAAGGCTATATCATCAGGCCTTCAGGAGCTGAAGCGCAGACTTGCCGAATTGGAAGAACTCCTCCTTGCAAAACCCGACAGCCGGAAACTATGTGACACGCGCGAGACCCTCACTCCGCTCTTTGCTCTTTATGGAACGGCCCTCGAGTTTCTACGTATGCAGTTGGACAGTTGGCAGCCTGATAATTTAGCTGGGTTGGATAGTGAATTCTTGAAGGCACATGAAGGCTGTCTTGTCGTTTACAATTACATGCTCGAAGTTTGCATTCCCCTCGTCAGGTACGTTTCCCATCTCAATATTGACTCACTTTCTAAGGATCAGCCAGAAACGATGATTCTTTCGGGCCATCAGGCTCAAGCTTTTTCACCCATCAAGCGCAAGAAGCAATCAATTCGGCTATGAACAAGAGACTTTTCAAAGCAGGTAAAGACACTGCCCAAAAGGACACGATGTCCAGCAGCGAGAAAATCCCTGTTGCGGAGAAAGAAGTAGCACCACCTTCGTATCCAGAGCTCGTATCAACGACGGCATCGCCGCCGATAGCATCACCATCAACGTCTTCACCACTCGTTCAAAGCCCTGTAAACAACTGCCGCCGTCCCAAAGGCTCCTCATTCTTCAGAGCCCTCACATCAGGCTTCCGCAAGCATGATACATTGGTCTCAACGCTCTGTCAAGCCGCTGCTCGTGGAGACGAGCAACAAGTCTCCGGCCTGATCTCCCAAGCCGCAAACGTCAACGGTCGAAACGAAGACGGAGATACACCACTAAAATGCGCCATAAAATACGATCAAGTTGGAACCGCTTGGCTTCTTCTACAAGCGGGAGCTCAAGGCAACAAGCTACCGCCCTTATTCAAAGCTGTTTCTGTTGGAAGTCTCAAGATCGCCAGGATGCTCATCGATTCTGGGGAGAGTGTACACGGTAAATCAAAGACCGGGAAGCCATACTTTGTTGATGTTGTTGAAAAAGGGAACCTGGATGGTATCAAGTTCCTCCTTGAGAATGGCGCTCCAGTTAATGCAAGGAACGAGAGACGAGAGGAAGTAATTGTCCAGGTCGTCAAGACAGACAACATCGAGCTCACCCGTCTTCTTCTTGCCCACGGCGCCAACGCTAGTGCGAAGGATGCAATTGGCGAGGAGATCATTGTACACGCTGTCAAAAAGAACAATATCGAACTAGTCAATATCCTCCTCGATCACGGCGCCGACCCCAATGCCGCAAATGCGGTCAAACAAACCATTCTCTACGCAGCTGTTCAGAGTGGCAATGCTGACGTGGTTGGACTGCTGCTTGACAGGGGCGCAAGCGCGAAGTTGTTGAATATTCTTGGAACCAGTATCCTAGAGGCTTCTATTGGGATGAAGAGATTCCAGATCGTGAAGAAGCTCATCGAGGGCGGCGCCGATGTTGATGGCACAGATGCGCATCAGCAACCGATTCTCATCAAGGTTATCAGGAACCCATACTTGAGTAACGACGAGAAAGTCGAGGTCATGAAGATGCTGATGGAAAATGGCGCCAGTCCTGAAACGGTTGATATCATCTTTGGTCTGCCAGCTATCTGTCACGCTGTCGAAATGCCAAGTACCCCGGTGGTGCAGGCCCTCCTAAGCCGAGCCGTCAACACAAACGTTCGCATGCTCTCCGGCCAAACGCTCCTCACATACTCCATCGACGTGAACCGCCAGAACACTGTTGAAGCGCTGCTGGCACAAGGTGTGGACGTCAATGAGGTCGATGGACTCAACAGAACGCCTTTGAAGCTGGCTCTGACAAGACTTGACTATAACTTGACAGCGAAGTTGATGGATTATGGTGCTGATCCTACAGCGAAAGAGAATCAAGAAGCTATCAAGTTCATCAAGGCTGTTGGGAGAAAGGATTTACAGGAACTTCTTCGACCAAGAGAAGTTGAGGCAGGTCCCTCAACTACGGCTGTTCGGCATGAGGTCGAGTTGCCTTCGTCTGAGGCTCCACCGCCTTCGTATGAGCTTGTGGCTGGAAAGGTCTAAATAAACAAGGCGTTTGGTATTTCACTTATGAAACAAAACCTCTTTAACAATTATACCAAGAACCTCCATCTCAATGAACGTGATGTATATGTCTCGTGTTAATGAGGCAAAATGTCAGCGGGCATGATGACATAACCCGGCTCAGTATCATCGAAGCCAAAAACTCCAAAACCGACGGCCTTAGGTTGATAGTCGCACGTTACCCCTCAAACGACGTCCTCAGGTTGATAGTCTTGATTAGAAATCCAGCGCCAGACTTTTCCTA